GAGAGAGAGAGAGAGAGAGAGAGAGAGAGAGAGACATGCAACATGCAGCATGTCAGTGGCGGGGAGCACAAGGGCAGACATTGACCTCCAACAAAAAGAAAAAGTAATTTTATCGGAATACAAAAGTTTTTTCTTTTTGACATCCGAATAGAAAAGGTACAGGTTGTATTCGAATACGTGTACGTTTTCTATTCAAGGAACTCTGCTATTCGAGAAAAGTGGACCCACACCGTTTCAATTTCAATTCTCAGCCCTTAGGCTGCGGTATAGTGGACTTTCGCGTCCATGTCAAGGTGTAGGACGCAAAGTGGGTTCTTAGGGGGCAAAAAAAATCTCAGCCCTTAGGCTGCGGTATAGACTGCGGGCGACCAGGACTCAAAGTGGGTTCTTAGGAGACAAACAAATTTGGGGGACCGGTCCTTGCCAAAATTGCGGACTACCTACAGCTAGATCTGGTAGAACCGGAACTTTTGGAAAAACGAAGGACCGGTCCTCGGGTGGAAGTGGACCCCAAAAAGAAGTGGGGGGCATTAGACCGTTCCTCAGGTAGAAGCGGACCCCAAAAAGAAGTGAGGGCATGTGAACTGCACAAGGGCCCTCAGGCCCAGGCGTTGAGCACCGTCTTCTTAAAACAGGGAGGTCAGATACAACGAAACAGGCGTTTTGCAAGAGGCAACTTTGACGATTTTCTGTGCTCAGACGAACATGCAAAAAAATCTGAAATTTTGAGAATCCATAGATGAGGTCGTGTTCTTTCCATAAATAATAATAGAACATTTACAAAAAATAATTTAGACTGCGAAATAATCATCGCGTCGATTCAACACATTTTCCAATTTTGCCACTCAGCCATGCCTGGGCCAACTAAAAAAATATTTCAAATTCAGTGAGTTTTCGCGCTCAGACGAATGCATGAAAAAACCTAAAAATTGGAGTACTCGTAGATTTTGTTGTGATCTTTCCAGGAAAAACGCTACATAAATTTAAAAAAATCATTCCAACTGCGAAATAGATTGCGGCCGCAATCTGACCCATATTTCAATTTTGCCATTCAGCCTCTCTCTCTCTCTCTCGTATCAACAAATGAAACAAAACTCTCTCTCTCTCTCTCTCTCGTAGTAGTAGTAGTAGTAGTAGTCCCCGGCCCCCCCCTCTCTCTCTCTCTCTCTCTGGTAGGCCTCCCCCCTCCCTCTCTCTCTATTTCTTTCTCTCTCTCACACTCATAACAATAAATGAAACAAAACTTTCTCTCTCTCTCTCTCTCTCTCTCTCTCT